GTCTGTTCTTAACACAGCAACTTTTTTTAAACAGAAAGATCACATCAACCCTCTCCTCAAAATCCTATGGTGGTTCCCCATCTTCCTCAAAGTAGAAGCCAAAATCTGACAATTCACAAGACTCTACACATCAGGCCCCTGATTATCTCTCTGATCCCACTTCCTTTTAGTTTCTTGCTCTTGCTTCTCTTCCCTATTCTTCCTATACATAAGACACTCGGTTTTAAATTCTTTGTACTAGTTGTTTTCCTCTGCCTGAACTGATCTTACTAGATATCCACATACTTAACTCTCAACTCCCTTAAGTCTTTGCTCAAACATTACCTTCTCGGGACCAACAGTCAGCGTGATGGTTATGTTGTTGGACCCCCATGTAGTCAACCGCGGTTCATGTCCTGGACCTGGTGCCTTAAAACTCATAACGGGCACGTGTGCATGCGTACCCAATATCCCGAGAGGAGAATGGAGAAGGGATTGCGGCGTGGCCATCCCCCCAGGGGGTGATTTCTCGCTTTCTGTCTCTGTCTTTGTCTGTCTAGTGAGCACATACACCATATAGCAAAAACCTCTCAAAAAAAAAAAAAATTACCTTCTCAATAAAGCCTTCTCTGATCATCCACTTTAAAACTACACCCTTTGGAAAAAAAAAATTACACCCTTTGGAGGGGCTGGCAAGTGGCATGGTGGTTAAAGGCGCTGGATTCTCACATGGCCGACTGTGGTTCGAGTCCCAGACCTGGCGGACTGCTTTCACACTTTGTCTCTCTCTCTCTCTGATTCTATCCCTCTCTGGTCAAATTGAAATAAGCAAATGAATAGATAAATAAATAAAATAATTCTAAAAAAAAAAAAAAAGCACACCTTTTGGACATTCCCAAAGCTTCCTATCTCCTATTCTTTTTTTCTTTTTTTTTTGAGAGATTTTTCACTGTAGGGCGCATGCGCTCGCCAGACAGAGAGAGACATAGAGACAGAAAGCGAGAAATCACCCCCCAGGGGGGATGGTCACGCCGCAATCCCTTCTCCTCCATTCTCCTCTCGGGATCTTGGGCACGCACGCACACGCGCCCGGCGTGAGTTTTAAGCCACCGGGTCCGGGACACGAACCACGGTCGACTACATGGGAGTCCAGCGACATAGCCATTACGCTAACTGCTGGTTCCCTCCTATTCTTTTTTTCTGTATTATCACCATCTAAAAGTCATGCACTAAATAATGACATTTCAGTCAACAACAGACTGCATATGCCAACAATGGTCCCATAATATTATACTATATATACTAGGTGAGTTGTAGACTATAGCATCAAGGTTTGTATAAGTTCATGGTTCGATGCTCACAAGATTAAATCACCTGATGATAAATTCGTAGAAAGTATCCTCATTGTCAAGCAGTGCATGAATGTACTATGTGTGTCTTTTCATTATTATTATTAAGAATTATTTAACTGCTGGCATGTTAATTAAGGGCACTGGACTCCCACATGGGCAACCATGGTTCGGTTCAAGTCTTGGACATGGTGACTTGCTTTCTCTCTCTCTTGCTCTGTTCCTCTCTGGTCAAGTTAAAATAAGTAAATAAATTTTAAAAGTTAAATAAAATAATTATTAAAAATAAAAAGAATTGTCGGGTCCAGCAGTTCGCGTAATGGCTATATTGCTAGGCTCCCATGAAGTCAACCGCGGTTTGAGTCACGGATCCAGTGGCTTAAACTCATGCTGGGCGCGTGTACATGTGTACCCAAGATCCCAAGAGGAGAATGGAGAAGGGACTGTGGAGTGGCCATCCCCCTGGGGGGGTGACTTCTTGTTTTCTGTCTCTCTATCACTCTTTCTGGAGAACGCACACGCCCTATAGCAAAAACCTCTCCCCTCCAAAAATAAATAAGTCCAGTATATTTCTTAATACACCCATGAAAATTTCCCTAAATAAAAACTTGCCTAAAATGTTTTCCACTTGAATAGTTCTATGAACTGAAGTGTACTTCTGAAGCCACTCCTTGCAGCTTCTTTATGAAAATATAAACGGGGATCCAGTGACGTAACCATTACACCATCTGCTGGTCCCTAATGTACTTTTAATATACGTAATATTGGGACCAGCAGTTGGCGTAATGCCTATGTCACTGGAGTCCCATGTAGTCAACCGCGGTTCAAGTCCTGCACCCAGTGACTTAAACTCACGCCAGGCACGTGTGCATGGGTGCCCAAGATCCCAATATTACGGCCTGGCCATCCCCTCTGGGGAGTGATTTCTCGCTTTCTGTCTTTCTAGTGGATGCACATGCCCTATAGCAAAAATCTCTCCAAAAAATAAAAAATACATATCATTAAATTTGTTGTAATTTTAATCCACTTATTTTATGACAGGATTAATAATGTATTTAAGCCAGGAACACTGTAACTCAAGGGCCAGCAGGTGGTGTGGTGGTTGAGGCACTGGACTCCTGCATTGGTCCACAAAGAATGGTACCAGGACCTGGAGGCTAGCTTTCTCAATTTCCCTCTATCTCTGGTGAGCACATGTGCCCTGTAGCAAATAAAACAAAAATAATAATGATAGGAACCAGCAGTTAGCGTAATGGCTATGTCGCTGGACTCCCACGTAGTCGACCACGGTTCATGTCCTGGACCCGGTGGCTTAAACTCACGCTGGGCGCGTGTGTGCGTGTGTGCGTGCGTGCCCAAGATCCCGAGAGGAGAATGGAGGAGAAGGGATTGCGGCGTGACCATCCCCTCTGGGGGGCGATTTCTCGCTTTCTATCTCTCTGTCTCTGTCTGTCTGGCAAGCGCATGTGCCCTATAGGAAGAACCTCTCAAAAACAAAAAAACAAAAAAAAAAACTCACGCTGGGCAGATGAGCATGCGTGCCCAAGATCCTAAGAGGAGAACAGAGAAGGGATTGCTGTCTCTGTCTCTCTGTCTGGCGAGCGCACACACCCTATAGCAAAAAACCTCTCTAAAAATAATAATGATAAATAAAATTAAATAAAAAATAATAATATAACTCCTAAACTCCATTAACAAATCTAAATTACTCGATAAATAAACAGCATGGTGCTAAAATTTTTGCATGATAAAACAATAAATTTCTAATATAGTGCTAATTGAAATTTACCCTTTAGCAATTTATTCTTCACTATAGTGCATAACACTATGGAACTAAAAAGTGAGTTACAAGGAAACCGTTATTAAACACAAATAATTTAAGAAATACACCTCAACTGAATGGTAGTCACAAACATTATTTGGTACATGTAAAGAAAATGAGCAAAACCACAGAGGCAGGCGGGTCACTATAAATTTACAAAGTTTCAGTAACAGAGCAGGAGAATATGAAGAAAATAACTCAGTCCAGCACAGCGTAAATAACTGATTAAAGAACTAGGGAGACGCTAGGCTAGAAGACTTGAACAAAGGGAAGACAAGGATTCAGTCTACTTCTCTTTAACTACTGGTTAAAAGAGAAAAAAATCAACTTGCTACAAAGTAATTATTCTACATCAGACTCCTCCCAACCTTGTCACTAAAAAAGTTGGACCTCTATAAAGCTCAAACGTTTACGCTGCAGGAATACATTACCAGCAGTTAGCGTGAACATCAGGTGGTTTCTCTTTGTTGCTTACCGATGACACAGCTTTCTTCCTGACAGTCCACAACTCGTTACCAACTCAACCAACTGCTTGCCCAATGGCCCGTTCCTCCCCCACCTAAACATCCAGAGCTAAACCGGCATTAGAACTCAGGCAACCCCATGAGGGTCCTCGAGATCAGAGAGGGGCCCGGCAGGGCGGGTCAGAGGTTGGCCGGGGGCCGGTCCGCCGCGTCCCCAGCCCCGCGCAGAGAGAGGCTGAGCGCGCTTTGGGGACCAGGCCCACATGGGGCCTGAGGCCTGGGGACCAGGACTGGTGGGCGAAGGGACCAGGCCCGCTGTGGATTGGCGCTGAGAGACCAGTGAGGGCAGCTCTGGCCTCTCGGTGCCGGAGCAAACGCTGGGGACGCCAGGGGCCTGAAGGAGCTGGCGTTAGGGTCTGCACGGCCCCAGTGGGGCACCTGGCGGCGGGGACGCTGCCGTGCCTGGGCGCGGGGCTCAGGCGCAGCTCAAGCGGTCGGAGCCGAGAGGTCCCGCGTCTGGCAGAGTGCGGACGGGTGGCTGAGGTGGATCAGGGGACGCAGGTAGGCCAGAGGAGGTGTCCCGCCGCATCTCGGGCCCCCGCCCCCTTCACCTGCCACGAACACCACGAAGACCGCGCCGCTCCTCTTAGCCGACGCGATGGCGGCCGGAATGGCGCCCTGGAACCACAGCATCGCTCCCCTCCGGCCCAGGCGCTCGCTCTGTGTGTAGCCGCCGCGGTCCCGGAGCTGGCCCCGCCCTCCTTCTTCCTCGGCCCCGCGGCCCCCGCAGCCCAGAGCTGGTCCGGCCCCCGCCTCCGGCTCCGCACAAGAGCGTACGCCCGTCAGCGGTCCCCTGACACACGCGCGAGTGCGCGCGCGAGGCGCGCCCCGTGTCACGTGACGCCACACGTCGCCATCGGCCCTTCGCCCCAGTGCCTTGTCCCGCTGGCAAGTGGTGCGTGCGCGCGCCCGCTAGCACCCGGGCCGCGCAGTCCAGGAAGTAAAAGGCGGCGGTAGGAAGAATGACTAACCGCAACGGCACGCCGGCGGCGCCTGCCTCACGGCATCATGGGAATTGTAGTCCTCTTAGTCTCGCTGGACTCCATATTGTGGAAAACGTAACTGATTTCCAAGACACCGCTCAAGGGAGCACTAATGGAAGCCGCTGCGCCTTCTATAAAGAGGACATGGAGGTGCTCGCTTCGGCAGCACATATACTAAAAAAAAAAGAGGACATGGAGCAAGGCAAATGTCGCTCTCTGACAGCCTAACAAAGGAGGAGGAAATCAGTTCCCCATGGAACTTAACGGATTTTGTAGGAAATTATAAGGAGGCTTACGTTTTTATTGAACTTAATCAGTCCAACCTTGTAGAAAAAACAGGATAAAAACACCAAAGCACTTGGGCAGCCCACGGCCCGCAGGTTAAGGTGAGCCAGTTTCTACATGGTTGACAAGTTTCAAATCCCATCCAGTATCTTGGAAAACACAGCAGGTACATGCGCATCCGAAAGATGATACTCTAATGTTCTCTCCCTCTCCTGCAGGAATTCTCTGGCACAAACAAAAAATCAAAACAAAAAAACCGTGGTCACCTCCTGTAATACTATACAGCCCATGTGCTGGAGGGGAGCTGTTGGTAGAATGTAGGCCTTCAGCAATGTCCTAGATATTGGCTAGAGATTGTCCCAAAGCTTTTTTTTTTTTTTTTTTTGAGAGTTTTTTTTTCCGCTATGGGGCGCGTGAGCTGGCCAGACAGACAGACAGAGAGAGACATAGAGACAGAAAGCGAGAAATCACCCCCCCAGGGGGGATGGTCAGGCCGCAATCCCTTCTCCTCCATTCTCCTCTGGGGATCTTGGGCACGCACGCACACGCGCCCGGCGTGAGTTTTAAGCCACCGGGTCCGGGACGCGAACCATGGTCGACTACATGGGAGTCCAGCGACATAGCCATTACGCTAACTGCTGGTTCCCGAGACTTTTCTATATACAGGGATTAGGTGACGCATTGGAAGATTCTATCGGGTAAGGAGAACATACAAAATGAGGTTATACGAGATAAAGGCACTGTGACCTGCTGGTTAAGGGAGCCAGACACCACCTGGCTGACTGAACAGTTCACATCCTGGCCCTGGCAGCTTGAAAAACACAGCTGGCAAGTACTTGCTTTTCCAACCTCCCCTTACAACCAGTAGTAGTTTGTGAGGAGGAGGAGGGGCACATCGAAGAAAGTTTTCTAATAAAAAGAGACACATTTTTTCCTAATAAAAGAGACATTCTTTTTGTTTTTTTTTGGAGAGGTTTTTGCTATGGGGCACATGTGCTCACCAGAAAGAGACAGAAAGCAAGAAATCACCCCCCAGGGGGGATGGTCACGCAGCAATCCCTTCTCCTTCATTCTCCTCTCAGGATCTTGGGCACGCACACACATGTGCCCGGCATGAGTTTAAGCCACCAGGTCCAGGACTTGAACCGCGGTCGATTACATGGGAGTCTAGTGATGTAGCTATTATGCCATCTACTGGTCCCAAGACACATCTTTTCTAATAAAAAGAGCCTGAGAAACATACCATTGAGTGTGCATGCATACCCAAAATCCCAAGGAAGGGAGTGACAGAGGAGAAGAGATTGTGGCATGATCATTCACCATAAAGGGTGCTTTTCCTCTCCTTTTTTTTTTTTCTGAGAGGTTTTCACTATAGGGCACGTGCGCTCGCCAGACAGACAGAGACATAGAGACAGAAAGAGAGAAATCACCTCCCAGAGAGGATGGTCACACTGCAGTACTTTCTCCTCCATTCTCCTCTCGGGATCTTGGGCACACACGCACACGCGCCCGGCGTGAGTTTTAAGTCACGGGGTCCAGGACGCGAACCGCGGTCGACTACATGGGAGTCCAGTGACATAGCCATTACACTAACTGCTGGTTCCCTTCCTCTCCTTTTCTGTCTCTCTTTTTCTCTGGTGAGCATATATGCTTTCTAGCAAAGAAAAAAAAAAGTCAGAGACCTGGGACCCAGCCACTGAAGTGCTGTGTTAAAGAGAATGCCTAGCACACTGGAAACCATTTGAATTCCCAAGCTGGCCTAAAACATGCTGGGCATGCATGAGGGTTTCTAGAATTTCGAGGAGATACAGGGTTGGGGAAAAGGATTACAGGTTGATGAGACCCTGTGGAGGATGCTTCCATCTCTCTCTGTTTTTGTCGGTCTTTGTCTTTCTCTTGCATGTGGGTACACATGCTCTGAATTATTTTAAAAAGAGAGAGATGTGAAACAAAGCACAACCGTTCTCTGCTGGATGCGTTTGTGTGTGGTTGTATCAGATGATGTCTGCTACTGCTCCAGCTATTTTGTGACCATAAGGAGAGACATTATCAATGCTCTAAGAATGACAACGGAATGGAATATGTAAAGTACTTGCATCTATGGTGACATCACAGAGCTCCTGAACCAACCCTGAGACTACTCAGTCCCCATACTCCTTGTTTTATGAGATAATAACTGTCCTCCAGGGGCCTACAGGTGGCATAGTGTCTAGAACACTGGATTCCCACATAGCCAGCTGCTGTTTGAGTCGCAGACCCAGCAGCTTGAAACTCTCGCCTGGTGTGTGTGCATGTGTGCCCAAAATCCAGAGAGGAGAATGGAAAAAAGATTGTGGTGTGGCCATCCCCCTTGGGAGATGAATTCTCACTTTCTCTCTCTGTCTCTCTGGCATGCACACACACCCTATAGCTAAAATCTCCCTAAAAGATAAAAAAAAAAAAAAAACAACTGTCCTCCAAGTGGCTGAAAGTTGGATATTATGTCGTCATCTTTTTTTTCTATAGGACATGTGTACTCACCAGAGACAGAGAGAGAAATCACCCACCAGGGAGGATGACTACACTGCAATCCCTTATCTCCCAGTCTCCTCTTAGGATTTTCAAGCCAACAAGTCACTGGATCAAGGAGACAAACTGTGAGGTCAGCCATGTGGAAATCCAGCGCCTGAAACTCCACACTACCTGCTGGCCCTACTTCTTCTTTTTTAAAAATTTATTTATTTATTTATTTATTTATTTGAATTCGACTAGAGACGGGAGGAGAGAAAGAGAAAGCAAGCTACTGGGTCCAGGACTTGAACCGCGGTCAGCCACATGGGAACAGTGCCTTACCCACCACGCCACCTGTTGGTCTCTACTTTTTCATTGCTAGAGATCATGTGCACTCACCGGAGAGTGACAGACAGGAGAAAGAGAGAAACTTCCCAATGGGGAGTGGTCATGCCGCAATCCCTTCTCCATTTCTCCAGATCATTGGGATTTGGGGCATGCATGCATGTGGGCCAATTCTGCTTTCAAGATACTAGCTTGGGGGACCAGCAGGTGGCATGGTGGTTAAGGGTGCTAGATTCCCATATGGCAGACCGCGGTTCGAGTACCGAACCTGGTGGCTTGCTTTCTCACTTTCCGTCTCTCTCTCTCACTCTGTCGCTCTCTGGTCAAATTAAAATAAATAAAAAAGATAAATAAAAATAAAAAATTTTTTTAAAAAGATACCAGCTTGGGATTCAGACTGCAATCAGCTATCTGGGATTGTGCTCCCTTAACCAACCCTGGACATTACTTCTGGTAATCACCACCTTTCTAAACAATCTGGATGGGATCCAGAGCACAGGCAGATAGAAAAGATGCTCCAGGGGCTGGCAGGTGGCGTGGTGGTTAAGGACGCTGGACTCCCAGTTGGCTGAATGTGGTTCAAGTCCTGGACTTGGCAACTTGCTTTCTCACTTTCCCTCTCCCTCTCACTCTGTCTCTCTCTGGTCAAATTAAAATAAATAAGTAAACCTAAATAAAATAATTAAAAAAAAAAAGAAAAGAAAAAAGAAAAGCTGCTCCATTGTAGCAGAGAGAGGAAAGGAAAAACAACTTGGACATACATAAATCTATATAGCTCAGGACAATAGTCTGAGGAAGTTTGCATCTGAAGGCTTCAACTGTTTCTCCTCTGAAGGAGAGGTCATTTGTCTAGTGTGAGGGAGAAGGTAAGGAAATTAGCACCTGGAGTCCAGGGGAACAGGTGTTATAGTTTAATCGGTGAGAAATAAGAGGACATCCAGACATAACCAGATTTATTGGAGCTTTTTTTTGGGGGGGGGAGGAGAGGTTTTTGCTATAGGGCGCGTGGGCTCATCAGACAAACAGAGACAGAGAGACAGAAAGCAAAAAATCACCCCCCCCGGGGGGATGGCCATGCCGTAATCCCTTCTCCTCCATTCTCCTCTCGGGATCTTGGGCACGCACGCACGCACACACACCCGGCGTGAGTTTAAGTCACCGGGTCCATGACTCGAAGTGCACACGAATACCTGGGAGTCCAGCGACATAGCCATTATGCTAACTGCTGGTCCCAGATTTATTGGAGTTTTATTAATAGGTCTGCGACTGTGGGAGGACACATGACTCTCAAAAACCCCGAAGCCCTGAGTGTAGGGAGAAGGAGCTTACAAAGGCAAAAACCACATTTGGGTTGACATGGCAGAAGCAGTAATCATTGAGGAGGAGGAGAAGGTAACAAGGGGATGGAGTGGAGATTCTTATGTATAAGCAGTTACAAAAGCCAGATAGAGAGAGCAGGTTAATAGGTTAATTACTCCTAAGGGTATGTTCCATCCCTGCCTAAACACAATGGAATCTTTTTTGGGGGAGAGGTTTTTGCTATAGGGTTTGTGCACTCGCCAGAGAGACAACGAAAAATCACCCCCGGAGGGATGGCCACACCACAATCCCTTCTCCATTCTCCTCTGGAGATCTTGGGCACGCACGCACACATGCCGGGTGTGAGTCTAAGCCACCTGGTCAGGGACTGGAACTGCAATCGACTACATGGG